TGGTTGAGACTGATACCGTATTTCGCTGGACATAACTGATTTGAAATTGAGTCAAAACGGAAACAATTGACTGTAAATCAGTTTATATACAATCAGATTACATTATTATATGCGTTGCTACCCATTTGGGTCAATTTCTAGGTTCCAAATATGAGAGACTTAGCTCCTTTCGTCAGCAAGGACTGTCGTGTTCATCAGTAAAGCAATTGCATGACTCGAAAGCAATACATGGCATATATGGGCACTAGTTCTACTATGCTAGCAGCAGTTATGAGGCCTTCTACAAACAGTAATACTAATCTCAAGCTTCAAAGTCAATAAACAATGACTCGTACTGGTATTACACCATGGGTTTCTCTGGGTTGTATTCCTAATTGTTCTCAATTTTGCGCGAAGTCTGTATCACCACAGGCCCGGAACTGTACAGCGCATTGGACGTTTACGGATAGCCATAGGATCCATTCACTTTTCAGGTACACGTTTATTTGTGATTTCTGCATATTGTGTCTTGTCCGTATATTTGTTTTCTGTAAATTATGTGTAGTGCAGTCCCCCTTCACTTATTTTTTTGAATCTAATATACCACCAATGTGCCCAAAAAGCAATTTAATCCAGTCTTTTGGAAAGCTTTTACAGGTAGAAATCTATATTCATTTTATTAGCCTCTTAATGAATACAAAATTAGATCTCAAACAATCGCTATCGTCATGCTCTATTTGCAAAGATATTTGTAAATCTGTAAATATTAAAAATGTGATTTTATTGCTACTTTGGATCGTAAGAGATAAATGATTAACTGCCTCGGGATTACTGATACAACACTCTAGATAAAATATATGTGTTTCAAAGTAAACGTATGAATACTACCATTAAGAAATTTTGTATTCAGATTTAATGTATTTGCAAGACAAGAGGACCCAATATCCCCCATCACCTTCCCCATCAAATTGAAGTTTTACAAAATCTCCATGCTGATGTTTGTTTGTTTAGTTTGTTGACATCCCTTTGCTTTTTTGCAGTCTCTTCAACCTCGTCTTAAGCAAAACTGGCACCGTTGTTGCGTTTTATGATCCAGATTTAACAATTGCAATTTTACCTCATCCCAGCTGAAGAAACTTCTAATGAGAAATACGGGTTATAAGATGACATTCGAGTGTTTTTTTTTTTAGCAATTATCTATTTTAAAGAGTCATTAATAGTAAGTGCAGGGGGGCTGCACCACACAAAATTTACACAAAAACAAATACACGGACAGGACATCCTACTCAGGAAATCGCAAACATACAGACAATTCAAACAAAGTGAAAGGATCCGGGGGCTAACCGTAAGCGTTCACTGCGCTGTACAGTCCCGGGTCTGTAGTGACACAGACTTCACTCAAAAGATGTAGATAAAGATCTGACATTTTTTGGTATAATAGTTCATAAATAGATAATGAAACATGAATATGCTGAAAATTTCATTTGAATTACTTCACTCTGAGCGGACTTATCAGTGTTAGAAGTTTGTACAATATATATCACAGATTGTTATGAAATATATTCATAAACCGTAAATAAAACATTAAAGTCTGCTTACTATCATTTTTATTTTCGACATGGGAAAACGGGGATAACATGTCACGTGATTCATTCATCTGTTTAATATATAACAAAGACAAATTTATTTTGGTTATTCTGATGGTTTTGTTTAAAGATATAAAGCGTTGTACCTAAATTTTAAATCATTAATTTTGTAATCAATAAATAATCAATGATTTTACTTTTTAAATCTGAACGTGCGCAAAGGATGCCGTACCAAATGTTTGCTACATTAGTCCCTGTCAACTGGCGATACTGGGCCAGTGAAGACGGACATAGGTCTTACAGTGTGCTATGAAGAATATTTTGCTGACACAGCGGTAGAACGGTCTACTCTTATTTCGAATTTAAAATGTCAGGGGTGTCTTTACGTGCACGTCAATGTTTACATGGAACCTCGGTTGTTTGTCCCATGCGAATGACTATGCGTTGTCCTATACCAGGCCATCCGTCCTGTACAATTGACAAGGGGGAGACGCCTAAAAATTCCGATGCACTTTCTCGGCCAACGTCTTGCTTTTGATTTAACTTTTGTTTCTGTTTTACGATTTTGACTTAAATTAAATTCCTGAATGATAACTATAGGCCACCATAGTACACTAACCAGGTTCTAGACTGGCTTCAAATAAATGACTATTTCAACACGCATTTCAAAATAAATTGCAATTTATGAAATTCTTGAAACAATGACAGAATAGCTTGGAGATATAAAAGCAGAATTTTTTTATCATAGAATTGTCTACTGGCAGTAAGGTTATTAAAGATATTATATTATATTTAACCTGGGGTCGAAATATTAAACTGCCTGTATTATCTTTGTTTTTTTGCGAAAAAAGGTTGACATTAAACGATTTCTCACTTTATTTTCTAAAATCTAGGTTTTTATCAACGATCTTGTCGTCTTCGATATCAAGTTTGTCTACCAATTCACACAATCAAACATTGTGAAATGAAAGGGGGTTTAATATCGTACTTATTTAGAATTCCTGTTGGTAAAAGTTCTTGTGCGTCCCATCCGCGCGGCTAGACGCTGACCATGCTATAACCTCCAACGCTTCCGTCTTGCTCCACTGACAAGGGGAAAGCTGTCTCGGCCAACGCAGGCCTCGGACCCCAGATCTGCTGGTTAATGAGCCAGCTCCTTACCCACTTAGCCACTGCAGCATAATAATAATCATTTTAATGATCAAGATCGAATTCTTGGATTATTATTCCCGGAGTTACCCCCCCCCCCCACACACACACACATTTTGCCGAAAACCTTCCGAGGGCGTCGAGGTTACAGATTTTAAGGGACTTATTTTGAATTTGGTGGGAAGCATTATGGGTCTCGAGAGGACGAATCCTATCGATATCCAACGTTTCGAGACCTTCTGTCCCGGAGTTATCCGTTGTTTCTATACACTTTATAAACGCGATTGAGGGTACGGTTTTGAACAGTTTTGTTGGTTGTTTTTTTTTTCAAATTCGATTTGAAGTATTTGGAAAACACCTATGATTTTCACTGTTTGTTGTCCATCTCTTGCCATATCTTGCGTGGTAACCGCTTGTAAAAATAAATAGTACGGACTGGATTGGTATAACTTCATTATAACAGACACAAATAACTGCAGACACAAATACCTGGAAATGACTGTGTATCATTAAACACAATTTTATTTCATCTCATTATTTATTTATTTATTTATAATATGAATACAATTAATTGTCTGATAATCTACTACACTTACAGATGCATTATGCAAGAGCTAAATCTGCCTATTGCAGGCCCTTCTTTAGGACCATATTTAACTCTCTTGAACTTCGGATGCCCTTAAACACGATTGGCGATTAAAGATTTAATTAAAGAATGGATAATCGAGACTTTTGTGTACTTTCGTGACAACGTGGCAATGACAATCGAGACTCTACTATTCTCCATAAAGCCTAATATCGCTTAGAATGAAATAATATGACGGAAATTTTCAACATGTTCACTTTTCATTATCTATTTGAACTATTATAGCGAAACTGTCATCTCTTTATCCAAATCTTACATATAATGCGTATTTAAGGAAAAAAATAAAATAAATATGATGCCATGACACAAACGCCATTTTTTTTCAATACTTACTATTAGTATGAATGCACTTGTTACAAATTGTGCAGTGCGCCCTAAATAACGAACAGCTAGCATCTGTCTCCAACCTGTCTAGCCAAAAATAACCATGTTTTTTAAAAGTTGTAGCCAATCCAATTCACGCGAATATTAACGACATGCCCTTCCTTGTGTCTCAAAAAAAAAGCAAAGGTTGTATCCAATAAAAAGGGCAACAGGATACGATTGACTACGATAACAGAATTATTAATAATTTGATTGGATGTTTTAATCGCATCAAAATATATAAATATACGCAATATCGATCATTACTTCATCAGTTGCCAACTTGAAGAAGAAGAATTTCAAGATGTTACGATTACTTCTGGTAAGTATTTGAAATCACATTTTCATAGTTAATGCTGGGTTCCCACTATCACGATTAGCTCTACGATTTTTATCGTGTAGTAACCGGTGGGATCCTATCAGGTCTTAACATATATCGTGATCTCGTTGATCGTATTGAAACGCATCCGAACGAATCTGCATGTACCAGATCGTGGACTCAATAGCGACAGCTATCGTGACACATCGGGTGGCAGTGGGAACCTAGCATAAAGGAGCTAAATCTCTATTAATGCAACATGAATTAAAAGAGATAAATCTCTATTAATGCAACATGAATTAAAAGAGGTAAATCTCTATTAATGCAACATGAATTAAATGAGGTAAATCTCTATTAATGCAACATGAGTTAAAGGAGCTAGATCTGTATAAATGCAACATGAGGGACTAAATCTCTATTTTTTGGAACCTAAAATGGACTAAAAAGCACATATTAATGCAACTCGAGTTTATATAAATCAACTCACTTACATTCATTTTTAAAAACTTTTATTGTAATTTCTAATAGTTCGCTAAAATACGCGAGCAGAGAAACTGAATGGCAGTCGCTGTCGTCTGGCTCGTCCATTCTACACCCTAAAGTACGGTGTGTGATTTCAAGCGCTACTAATGTTGTTGCTTTTCTTAGAAAGCAGTCTAAGCTAGGCTCCGCCATTTTAAGTATCACTAAATAAATAATTATTACATGATTGTATCGATTTTTATTACTTGTTTTTTCTAATTATATTTTTATTTGTTATTTGTAACTTTTATGTGATATTTCTAACTATATGTTTATAATTATTTTATAACCATATTTTTATTTGTTTTTTAAAACTATATTCTTATATTTCAGATAACCCTATTAGTTGTTATTACAAATGCCCAGACCGAGGGCACAGGGGAAGGCCCGCTCGAGGGCACAGGGGAAGGCCCGCCCGAGGCCTCCGGAGCTCCGGGTGGGGTCGAAGGACCAGCAATTGAAGCATCACTTAGATGTCGACGATCTATAGCTGAAGAGAAGGCAGATGCATTACAATTAAACTCTGTGGGTACAGAGCTAGACGAACTAACAGACGCGATGGTCGCCAAGGCTGTTAAGGCAGGCTCTTCCAAATCGGAAGTCAAAATCGGGTATGTTGACGTTTAATAAGTTATTTTTGCTTGTTGAGTTTTGATAATGATACAACTATTCCATTTTTATAGGATGAAATACTATAGTATTCTACAGAATTTGGGGGGCCTGTAGGAAATAATGGCCTCATTTATTCTACTGTTTCTGTAGTGCAACTCACATAAGTTTTCTTACAGATTTATGCTACAATTTCTAAAGGAAAAAATAAAGTATTCTATAGTTTTATAGTGCTTTCTGTAGTATATTCTACAGTTATCTTTTTGTTTAATCAAGTTTGTGAACAGGCTGCACAGTTTTCCCATTGTCTTCAGTTTCTTATTACTAACTAACTTCTATGAAGTTGTTATACATGTACATTGAATTTAAAAATTTAAAATTCACCCAATGAACACACAGTCTTCTCTTGGATTAACTTTAATCAATCCGTTAGCTAACGTATAATGAAATTCACTTTCCCGCAACAGAAATGTAATGTTAACAAACGACACGTTAGCAAGATAACAATCCGTTAAAGATTAACACACAGTCTTCTCTTGGATTAACTTTAATCAATCCGTTAGCTAACGTATAATGAAATTCACTTTCCCGCAACAGAAATGTAATGTTAACAAACGACACGTTAGCAAGATAACAATCCGTTAAAGATTAACGGACCGTTAACATAACTTAGTTTTAAGCAATCGACCTCTAGTGATTGAATAAGTAAGTAAATACGTGCATATTTGAATTTGCTACATTTGTATCTTTAGTTTCAAGTATGTCCATAAAAGTACATTTTTACAGTTTCAGTCCAACTAACCCCCGTTTCTTTGAACATGGGCGTACACCACAAGTGTAAGTATTGCTACTCATTTTATTTGATTATCAAACATTCGTAACATCGCTAAGAATAACGTAATTTGACTGCAATTTCAATATATCATCCACTTAACAGCACCTATTTTCAAACTATTAAAGCAAGAACTGCCAACGATTCGTCCAAATCTTACATAATGCAGCTTAACGTCCACTCGACGCAAACTAGGTCATTTCGGGACTAACACATGGGTCTTTAGCAGTGGGAGGAAACCGAAGGACCCGGAGAAAACCCACGAGGTTGAAGAAGCGACCCTATTCTAACTCCAAAGCGTTCTTTTACGTGCACACCAACATGTACACGGAGCCAGCACCTATATGGAACATTGAAACTCCAGGTTAGTGCCCGACTCACTGAGCCACCGTGGCTCGTCTTATTCTAATCGGATTGTCACGTCTTTATGGTTGTATAATAGTTTACATTAATCGCAGTTAATGCAAAAAAAAAGAAGTAAAAAATGTACTTTTTTCTTGATTTACAGAAAATGTCCTCGTCTCCTGTCCAATTCATGGTTAGCACAAGAAAGCTGTCCTCATGTAAAGGTGTTATTAACATCATTCAGAAGCAATGGTTTTTGTAAAGTGATCTTTCCTGACTGGCAGGGAATATACTACACCCAGTGTCTGTAAGTATATTAATACACAAACTAGAAGTGGCATAGAAGTAAACATGCAACTTCGCCGTCCACCTGCACTTGAATGTAACCAGCAACCTATTAAATCTGTTAACCTTCCGCCTCCAAGTCACAATGACCTCGTCTAATGTTTCATGGACGTTCTATATTCCACTATAACAGAATTGATCCATACAAAATTACAAGCGCAACAATATCCACCTGTTGTTTCTAATCATTTTATTTTTAGATGTCGAGAATGCAGAGGATGCGAACGGCGGTTTATTTTCCGTCCTACAAAAACCCGAAACGTGTGTAAACCAGATAAATATACCGGGGCCGAAGTTTTGGCGATCTGTCGAAGAAGACATCAAAAGGGATGGAAAATCAAGAAAATTCATGTAAGCCTTCCCGATGGCAATTGTGATTGCAACGTCGTCCGCAATCATTGTTAGATATTGCTTATAGTCATATGCCTTGAAAGCTCACTATGAACCATATCACCAGTAAAACTATTTTGACATATTTTCTAAATGATTTGAAGCCATACAATTGATTTCTAGAGCTTATTGTAAATTCACCATGAAATTCACTTGTGGACATTGATAATTATTTTCATTACCAATTATGGTTGTTTCTTTTTTGATTAATTGTATTTCTGATTTTAACATGATGTTATAAACTATTTTTGGATTTTCTTTTGATTTTTAAATTGTCATTAAAGTTTTTGCCGAAATGTCCATATTCTCTTTGTAATTATATTTTGCAATTGTTCAATCAAAACAGAAGTGGGCAGCTCTCCTTTCGAGATTGCGGAACGCGGGCGGAGGGAGGGTGAGGGTGGCCATATCTAGTGCGCTGTAGATTAAAATGTCTGCTATTGAGTCAAGTGGTGTGGTTTCAGTTCCAAGCTTGCACGTGACGTACAGAGTAGGGTCGCCTACTAAACCCACGGGTACCCCGGTGCCTGTCCATGGCTAAAGACTCCTACGTAAAGAGAATTATTCAAATTAAAATGTTAGTCCCGAAATGATATAGTCTTATGCCCGAGATGAAAAAGCATAAATGTGTATTAGGGATACTCTCGTGAGAAAAGTATTAACATCTAATCTGACTATTTATAGTTCAATTGATTTATATTCAATTGCTATTTAATAATTTAATTAAAAATTGGATATTCGAGACTTTATTATCGTAACAACAATAACAACCGAGGCTACACTGATCTTCAAACGACAATAACATCGCTCGGAATGAAGTAATTTGATTGAACTTTTCAAAATGTTCCCTTTTCATTAAAATTTTTTCAACTATTACATTGAGAACTGTCTGCTCTTGATCGAAATCTCACATAATGCATCTTTAAAAAAAATTAAAGAGCAATTCTCAGCGAAAACATTGGAATACTCTTAAAACTTTATCAAACCACCCCAATGTAGTAACACATCATCACACATAGTGGAAGATATATTGAAGCTATACCATCAAAAGTTGATGCCGTGTTACATCAAGCGAAAAGTTCAATTTTCCAGGACGTTTAGAGGTGGACAAACAAGCGATAGACAACGATATCATCACAAATCAGCCAAGAACTGCTGATGTGTGCTTGCGCTGGACGATATAAATGCGGGACTGCCTTGCAAGGCACCATCTCAGCCTGGACGACTGTATGGCATGCAGTAATATGTAGTCATTTAGGCATTGAAATGAAGACGGGACATTTTGTCGGGACAACGACGTTTCCGCTTTGTCGAATTCCAAACATCAAGGGTTCCTTACACACAGACTTGTAAACAATTACAACATTATTTTATATACAAAAAATTTCCGGAATAAAAAAAACCCTCTTATTTATTAACCCGTTAATGGTCTTAATTTCATATTATTCTGATTTTGTCAAAGCTAATTATAGCTAATATGGGAATTATAAATTACCATTTGCAAAAACATTACACGAGATTTTTCATAAAATTGTTTGATATAAATCTAATTTTATTGACGATTAACAGTTATATTTTTTCCCATAGCGTTCACAAACCACAAGGTCTTTGGAAAAGGGGAATAACTTCGGGAGGCCACAGAACGCTGAATATCGATAATATTTGTCCTCTCATGCGTCACACATAATTTGAAATAAATCCGTAACGCAAAGTTCTGGAACGCTAAATACCAGTAAGGTTCTTCCTCGAATAAACCCAATGCTTTTAAGCATGTTAAAACATGGACAGGCGACCCCGACCCTACTTTGGATCCATGTTTGGTTTCTTTAATAATGGTTTAACAATGGCTTTTGTTAGTTCCTTGGGAAAGTGACCAAATGAAAGAGATCGGTTAATAATTTTAGATATGAAAGGTGCAAATAGATCGATGTGTTTCTTCAATAGATGTGTAGGTATAGGGTCTAGATCACATGTTTTATCTGATCGTATTTTAACTATTTTGTCATGAAAACAAGAAACAAATTTATTTGCACCTTCCTGTGTAGAACTGTACTCTGGAAGTAAGCTCGAGAACTTATTTTTATCTAATAAATGATCTATGACTTGGAACATTTTCTTTTGATCAGTTCCAGATTGAGCCAATTTGTTGTTGTAAAATTGGTTTTTGAGAAACTACAAGTAATACAAAACGCTTACAATCAGCCTTAAATATATATTTGTGGTCCGTCGACATGTTCTTTCCGCCTTGCGTCTTATTTTTCTGGCATCCTTGATTTTGACATTAAACCAAGGATTCTGTGGTTTAATCGCAATGTTTCTTGTGAGGATGGGTGCGTGTTGATCCAATATCGTGGATGTTTTGCTGCTATATATATGGAACAGTTCATTTAGACCAGAAGTTGAAAGTGAAGATGTAAACAAACATAATTTTTTTAGATCACCTGCGAACTTGGTGTGAGCAATGCATTTGAACTTTCTGTATTTTATGATAAAATGAGCCCTTGCCTACGAAAGCCCAGAAGGCTCATTCCAAATTCCAAATGCTAAATTCCAAATGCGAAATTCCAAATTCATGTCTTACCAATCAAATAGCAAATTGGCAGCCCCCCCCCCTCAATTAAACAAATTAGAATTTAAATAAATTGTAATTTTACACAACTAATTAGTGCTAGTTTTCCTGGATCAAATGGAACCATAAAATGAATAGCATAGGGATCACTGAAGAATGGGTCATTTATTCATAAGTTTTGGACATTCAGTTCACCGCAACGTGGCAATGTCATTTATAAAGTATGACCAAGGTTATGTGTTGGGTTAATAAGATGTTGTACTAGGCAAAAGAACTGGATAAGATCTCTAATTGGATTGCAAGAGAATTTGTAGGAACATCCAGATGAATGTTGAAGTCACCAGCAATAAGTAGGTTTCCTGGTTTGAGTATCAAATATTCATAATAAGAACTAAAATCAGAAAGGAAATCAGAGATCGAATAAATAGATTTTTTAGATAATGGAGGACGACAGATATAATTTTTTTCAGTTCAAAAGGAATCACAATTTTGGATACTATTCCAACTAGACGCCCTTCTTCCGTCCTGCACAATTGACAAGGGCAACCCATGCTGGAAGGTACAGGATAACTTTCTTGACCACACCTCCTGTACCTTCTGCTTACTGAGTCACCGCATCCAGCCATCGGGGATATTATGGCGAAAAGAACATATCTGATTAACTTCAATAATTATCTTCGTCTCCGTGCTTCTTAAAATTCCATAATAATCTAGAGATTTACATGTATATACCAAATTATTGTATTGTAATATATCCGAGGGTTATTTATTACACCTCAATAAAATTCCACACTCCATTTTTACACCCGAAAATGTGTGAACTTATTTAAAAGTAATAAGTTTCTTTTTTAATTGATCACACGAATGTATTAATTATAGGTTAGCCTAGTGGATAATATGTTTGCTCGGACAGTGGAATGATAACCCAATCTTCGTCGAATCTTGTACCTTCACAACAATGTGTACACCGGGGTGGGCTCCCGGTTTCATAAAATTGATGCCCAACAAATAAAAAAAAACGATCTAGGTTGTCTCCGTCTCCTGTTTTAAGCCCAAGTTCATAAAATATTATTATAAACGTAACAGATAGAGTAGTTGGTTTTTTTTTATTGGGTTAAGGTTGTTCGATTCAAGAATTTAAGGACCGTACCTTTCGTATACGTGGAGTTTACCTTTTCAGTCACAACTGACTATTAAAACGCATGAAAGCGATACAAGAGATACAAGAGATAATATATCTCCCTTTACATGTTTACTCGGGGCAGACTTCTTGAAAATGAAATGAAATGGGGTTTAACGTCCTACTATTCTGCTCCGACTGGGCTAATGAAGGCGAGCATACGCCATACAGTGTGCTATGAGGGAAATCTTGCTGGACAGTGGCATTATGGCCTGCTTTTATATCGAATTCCAACTGCCAAGGGATATTTTACGTGCACGCCAATGTATACATGTCCCATCCGAACGACCAGACATCTGTCCTTGTCAGGCCCTCTGCCCTGAAAATCTGACAAGGGGAAACCACCAACAGTTGTTGAGGAAATATGTTGAGGATTGGTAGTTATTCACTACGGCGTATTATTGAAGTAATCTATTGAAACTCAAGATTTCTGGATCTCAAATGTTGAATGTGCTTTAGATAATTAAGCATGTCACTAAGTTAAGTGGCTTGGTTTCGATCCCTATCGTGTAGTGGTGGCAAGGTGTATGATTGTCTGTCCATCTTCGTTGATTTCTGCGGGTCCCCCACTGCTAAAGACCTGAACGCAAAAGCGAATTGTTGAATAGAATTGATTCATGTGTTACTCTCAAATGACGAGTGGACATTAAACCCCATTTCTTATCTATCTATTTCAGAGTTTGTGAAGGAAAGTCCATCACAACACCAAAACGTTTTTCAAATTACAACTCTTCGCTTCAAATTCAACAACAACTAAATACTAATGACATTTTTGTATTTCTCAAAAACTTTAAAATAAATTATTGCTATCCGTGGTTTACGGTCGATCGTCATGGATTTATTTTGAAAATGCGCTGTCACCAAATACAACATCGGGAGCTGTTAGAACCTCCACACAAATTCCTTTCGTCGTAAAGAATGTTTTATAATGGCAATCTAAATCTCCACAGCAACGATGCATCATGCTGCATTCACTTCCCTGTTGGGGACATTCCGGGTCATTACTGAGAATTATATGACGTTTTCTGAAATAGAACAAGAGGGAGAAGACACAGAGAAAGATAATATTTGGTTTTACAAATAAAAGCCGAATGCCAGGTTTTTTTTTAAGTAGCAACGTCAAACAAGGTTGTAGTCTTTTTTTTAAATCCCCCCTACTCTGACATGTATGTTTACATAAATAGAAGAAGTCACTCGTCATAAAAGATATATTGCAGAGATGATAATAAAGTTTTTTTTTTATAAATAGAAAATCAACGTACTCATCCTCTCTGTAAGTGGAAGCTGAAAGTGAAAACCAAAAGTTTAATTAAATACAAAACCATTAAATAGAAAACCGCAACAAAAATTGAAATGAAATATTTTGTATTTTTGTGCATTATGAGTATCCTGGATAGGGGCAGAACAGGATAAAACACTTAAAGGGAACCACAGTGAGTTATACGCTGGCTCGCTAGTTTGGAGGTCGTGGGCTCGCTCCCGGTGTTGGTCGAGAAAGTTCATCCAGATTTTCCGGAGTAGTTTCCTCCTATCAGTGGTGCAGGAAGGAGGGCCTGACAAGGATAGCTGTTGGATGGAACGTAAGTCCGAGGTCTCGTGTACACATTGGCGTACACGTGAAAGATCCCTTGGTAGTTGGAATTCGATATAAAAGTACATTGCGTACGCCCGTCTTCGTTAGCCCATAGTCCGAGCAGAACAGTAGGAAGTTAAACCTCATTTCATTTCATATCTTTTTCGAATGACAAGAAAACCCGAGGTCCTGTAGACCAAAGCGCCGCTATCGAGGAAACAGTTCCCACATAGCACCCTGCATGGCAGGTGCACATCTCCATTACGATTAGCGCAAAGAATGCAAGAGGTTAACCCCATTTTGTATCATTTTATTAGGTCTAACCAAATATCAACTTTATGAACAATACAGGGAAAACGCACAAGGCGATCTTCAAACAAATATAAAAACAACAAGCCCGAACATTGTTTCGTTTGTATAATATTAAACATGGGTTCGAGAAATTAAACGGTAGTCAACATTATGGTACCTTCACATCTACGCGTCTCATGGATATTTTCCAGACAACGTGACCAACAACCAGGAACGTAGTATGACGTCATCCCAGCCATCTTAGTCGAAGGAACAAGTATGCCAAGTGTCATGTCATTCGTACATGAATTAGGGCAAACTTGGGCTTTTTTTCAGAGTACCCCCCCCCCCTCCACACCAACCACAACACCACTGTGACCAACAACAACAACAACATCAAGATAGAGACCGACTCAAAGTAAAAAGAAAATTTTACCTCCATAGACGGCAACAGCACATAATAATACCAAAAAAGCTAGAATAAAAACCTTCATAATGTCGATTAAACTGGAGGATAATATTACGATCTTCTCGTCTCGGGGTAAACTGATATTTTTGTTATCAGGGCGAGGTTTATATATTAATAGTCATTAACATAAAGAGGTATATTTTCATAATTATACTGTAATCTAGGAGTAAATTAGAGGAAATTTATTTCTAATGTCAGTTAAAATGTCAGATGGTCGACAATTATCACCAGTGTTAGTTCTCCTCGTGTGTTTATTAATGAGGTGTAAAAGAAGAGTGCATTTGGTAAGGGATCAGGCTGTGGACGTATCGGGAGAGGGGACCCATCGTGGGGCAAACAGAACACGCGGAATTAAAGGGCTGTTGTGGAACCCGGGTTTGATAATAGTCGCGGTTTTCTCGGTTCTTAAGGATTTGATTCCTGTTGCGAGTCGAGGTCACGATGATCTAACCCAATGATATACAGCTATCTCGGCTGTTTCCTTTGATCTTTAGAGCTTATTATTTGGATACAATAACCCCATATTAGGTGATTCATAATACACAGCTGAAAAATGTCCAGACCCAGACGTGTCATTAATATTGACCGGTTTGATCCTATAACGAAACAACCATCAAACGTTTTCCTTTTTAATAATATATATATATATTTAAATTCAGCTCTTTAAGTATGATATATAACAAAACAATGTGTTAGAAATGTGATTCATTCGGGTACATGATTAAATGATGACCTTTATGTGATTTGTCGGTCGAATATAATAATTATTAGTACATGTAATAATTAAAGTGAACTTCTGTACGTAGTTGGATATAAATCATATTATATTGCTATACGATACGGTCGCCATCATACATACAGATGATGTTTCGGTGACCTCTTGTTAATCAATGTTTGAATATCGAATTTAACTATCGAATTTTCAACAACAGCAAAACATTTTCATTTATACTGAACTAAATATGATAAACTGCGATTAGATGTGCGGTATTCAACTTTCCATTCTTACCCTGACATGCCAATGTCCCCTGTATCTTATGCTTGATCCACCTCACATAGTAGTATTATACACCGCGCACACCAAGAACGACGGAGGAAAATTATGCATGTAAAATCTATCATATTGTTATTTCATATTGCATTACAATCAGGAACATTATGGAAATGAAATGAAATGGGGTTTAACGTCCTACTGTTCTGCTCCTATGCTGGGCTAATGAAGACGGACATACGCCATACAGTGTGCTATGAGGGAAATTTTGCCCGGGCAGCGGCATTATCGCCTACTCTTATATCGAATTTCAACTGCCAAGGGATCTTTTATGTGCATTCCAATGTATACACGGGACCCTGGTTTTTCGTCTCATCCGAAGGACTAGACAGCTGTCCTCATCACTGACAAGGGGGGAACCACGCCGGAAAATCTGGATGAACTTTCTCGGCCAATGCAGGGATCGAACACCCGACCTCCAGGCTAGCGAGCCAGCGTCTTACCCACTTAGCCACGTGATCCCCCTGTGTTGTGCTATTAATGGGAGTATTGATACAATAAATTCTTATCTTATCTATCATGATATTTGAATAAATTATCACCAAACCTTGACTTACAGCCCTTCATGCAATACAAGAAACAGTCTTTAATTCATCTTATATATCACGCTTTTTGTTCAGTACATTTTGAAATTTTTAGGAAATATTTAGTGGCATATTCAAACTGCATTTCCGCCTTAAAAGCGCGGCTGGTACGGAACTGCAGGACTTTAAATCTCCTTTCCCCTTTAAAATCTATAACCTACCTGCCTTTAATAAGTATTTAGATGTATGTATGAATGCTTATTCAGGCTTTTGGCAAAATTGTAAAATGTTTTAGTGTTTATTTACGAAAACTTTGCCCCCTTGTCTTGTGATAGAGAGGGGGTGGGGGTAGCGCGTGGGCGTTGTATCATGCGATATGTCATTGAGTCAACTGACGTGGTTCGATCCCCCGGTTTTACGTGACAAAGAGTAGGGTCGCCTGTCCAACCTCGTGGATTTTCTCCGGGTCCTCCGGTCTCCTCCGATGCTAAAAAACCCTACGCGCAAGCGGAATTATTAAAAAAAATTGATCCATATGTTAGTTCCGAAATGACCTAGTTTGTCGCGCTTTTCAGCTAACCTTGATGGTTAATCCGGCGGCTGGCTATATATAGAACAATATAACAAATCTGTCAGTTGTGTATAATCATTCCATTATGGTAACCGTTGTTTAAAGCAATAACATATATAGGTGCATATAATCTCCCAGCCCGTGGACGTGCACTAGTTTATAAAATAGCTGTAAATTGTATATTATAATTCTACTGAGTCACAGATGTTCGGGTTGAATAGGCACCGCGTTCATAGGTAATATCGTTCACATAAGACTATTTACAATATGATACGCTTATCAATAACTCGTAAATACCTCGTCGCATTTGATGTCACATTCACAGTGTGACTTTGGGTACCTTTGATTGAGTATTACTTGAATCTAAATGTCAGTATTTGGTTAAAAATGAAATCAAATGGGGTTTAACGTCCTACTGTTTTTAGTTGTTTTCAAATTAAGACAGTGCAGCCGCTGCATTTTTCATCACACGAAACGATAAATACACAAAAAAAAATCCCTACCACACCTAAACTCCCTTATCCATTTCCAGAAATAACGTCCATTTGTGTTTCATCGGGATTTTCCCGCCGTGATATAGGAGAGAGTCCTGGCATTGGGCGAAACGCATACATAGGTCACGTGTACACATTGGTGTGCACGTAAAAGAACCATTGACAGCTGTAATTCGAATAAAAGCGTAGTTCGTAGAGCCGTTGTCCGGGCATAGAAATCTACATGGCATATGTCCGTCTTCGTTAGCAAAGCTGGTGCAGAAAAGCTGGACATTAAACCCCATTTCATTTCATTTGACATTTCGAACCGACCCGGATTCACTGTGATCAAACGCACCCTTTTGTGGTAGCAGGGGGAACACACATTTTGGCTTGGATGATTTTAGATGACTTGGCAAGTTTGTTTTTATTCGGAACCACAAATTAATACGCTAATCAGACCTTGACACACACGTTCACGTTCAAGAAAACTTAATAATACTTAATTGTACTATAGGTATATATCCTATATATTACTGTGAACAAAGTGGTGAGTTTAAGAAATGACTTGACAGTTTATGCGAACGTATATAAGTAGGCCCAAGTGAACACAAATTATTTCATCTATCCCCGGTGTTTAGTGAGGTAAGTAATAATTATATAAATATTTCGAATATTAAATTTGTTATCACCCAGATCCTTATTTTTGTATAATATTATATGTTCTTTTAGTGGACTTACAGTATATATTGTTACTAATCGCTATACAAAGGAAAGGAAAATGCTGGGAGATTGAAGTGCTATAAAAAACTTGAGATAAGGGGAAGTAATTAGCACTTATCCTAATTACTTTATTGCGAAAAGAAATGAAAAAGGGTTTAACGTCTTACTGTTCTGCTCCGACTGGGCTAATGAAGACGGGGATTTCAGAAGCTATATACTTGGTAGACGATTAGCTTGGCACAATCACAAGTTATCTAAATACAAAATTACAAACACTACCTGGACATATTTCAGCTTTCAATCAACTACATTGGATTAAGGAATTAAAGATGAGAGGTATTTGTATAAAGAAGTATTATGGACCCAAGGTGTTAACAGTAGAACAGAATATTCCAGTTCCATCGTTTTAAGATGACGAGGTTTGTTATATCTTAATGTGTCAAAGTCACGGTTTGTTTTTTTACAGAATGGCAGAGATGAACGAAGTATATGAGTTATGACGGAGGCCAGGGCCGTTTTATCGCCGGGGCATTGGCCCGGGGCCCCGCGTGTATAAAGATCCAATGTCAGTCTATGTATGTTGTATGTCTCGTGCATGTATGTATATGTAGGGGCCGCAGTGAACCGTTTTGCCCGGGGAGCCCATAATTCTGTAATGCGCGTAACGGATCAGTGAGCATCCCTACTTTTCAAATTTTGGAAATGTGTCCTGAATTACTACCCTGGGCCCTTATTCACGAAAACTTAAACTAAGATACAATCGAAATTTTAAGAAATACTGCAATTCGATTGGCTGACCAGTAAAATCAATTTGCATATATCCAATTTGCATATTGGTCAGCCAATCGAATTGCAGTATTTCTTAAAATTTCGATGGTATCTTAGTTTAAGTTTTCGTGAATAAGGGCCCCGAACAGTAATAAATGGACAAATAATTCACTACAATGATGTGTTTAATACTTTTAGATTAATAGTTTGGGGTTTCTAAAAATTCAATTTCCGTGGTGTCAACACCTTTAATCACGTCGACGGAACACTGAAACAAAGTTTTTTCAAAAATATTTGTTTTATCTCTAGTTAATTGTTCTAATTGCTTTATCTTTATTTCAGTTGTTGATAAAAGTTGCATTTGCAGGTGTAAATCCAGTCGATACCTACTGCAGATCAAATATATTCCCTAATGGACCATCAAATATATTCCCTAATGGACCATATATACAGTACATTTACATCCATTTTATTATGTGTTTGCCACTTTAACTATGTATATACACCTATTTGTATTGATATTATATATATATATAAATTATTGGAGAGGGGTTTTACAAACGCTAAGCCTGTTCCTAAAAACGATTTAGGCAACCTGTATAAAATATTGTTTGGATGCTGTACGTGCTAGGAACGCCCAGGGATATATGTCATCAAAACATGACCCCAAGCCCTCTCGGTCTGTCCACTCGTCATTTCTGAACAAGAGTTGTTTACAATCACCACTCTAGCAGAAAACGTTATGATCCAATAGACTTGTAGAATCTTCAATAGGAAATGTTTAGATCCAACGCAGCATTTTAAGAAGAACGGATGGGAGTTTGCAGATCGTGCAACATTTGGCCTCTTGCAATCGAACACACTACCACAGAAATAATATTCTCATATGTTAAATGTCTGCATAAACCTCAATTCATTGAGTTACTCGTTCCTTACCCCACCCTTTCCTGTTTTTTAAGAAACAGACATCAATAATTTAATAAACTT